TGTGTGTGTGTGTGTGTGTGTGTGTGTGTGTGTGTGTGTGTCTGAAGGAGAGCCTCCCAGCCCCCAAATCTGCTACAACCTTGTTCCAATTCTGCTCCTCGATTAAAGACTGCTTAGAATTGCGACCAAGTACCGTTGAGGGTGACATACCCTGGGCCACATACAGGCATTTGCAAAGACCTGCATATGCTCAAAAACTTCACCCAAACATATGCACCGAGCTTCAGGGATACATTTATGAGAAGATCGGGTGCACATAGGTCTATCCAAACTTCGGCAAGAAGAGGTCCAAACATTTGTGTAAACACAAACCAAGACCTTCGGCCGATGCAGAAACCACAGGCCAAAGATGGTGGTGGACACGGGAGGCGGACACGAAGAGGAGCGACTTCATCCGAGCTTATTCGAGCTTATGGAGTGCAAGTCAAGCTCAGTACCAAATAACCAATGCAAGAAATAACCAGGTCGAGGCTGAAACTGACCACCAAAGACTATACATCCACAGAGCACCAGAAGCAAGACCACGACAACCTGACCAAACCTTCTTGGATTAAGGACTTCAAACAGGAGGACAAAGAACGACAGGAAAAGGGTCTGCCACAGCATTTAGCAAATGCAAGACGGGGCTGTGTGCAAAACGCTCATGCACAAAAGCGAGATCGGGAGACCGCAGAATGAACGACCATGAGAGGCGTCACTACAAACATTCGTCCACAAACGAGAGGGTGGGAGAACGCGGAGCAAATGGGCAGGAAAGGACAGCACAAACACTCTTGGACAAAAGGAAAGGTAGGAAAGACCAGAGTGACTGAACATGACAGGGATCACAGCAAACACTCGTGTAAGAAAGAGAGAGAGGGAGAGAGCAGAGTGGCTGCCATCAAAAGAGGTCAGCTGTCCCCTGGAAGTGGTGGTCAAAGGCGGAATCACTCACCACAAAATGGTCTGCACTTGATCCTCAACGCGAATGCTAAAACTGAATTCCTAAAAACTGCTGGAACAGACGAAATCTTCACGGCTCCCTGCATCAGGTCACTTACAATTAACGATTTCAAGAATTTTCCTTACAATGCCGTAACGACAGGGTTTACTTCATGCTGCGATTGCGAACGACCCTGTGATTGCCAACAACCTCCCCATAACCCCACACTTATACTTGGATGGAAGCCCTCTCCCTCTTCCTCCCCCTCAACCCCACCCCCCTGCCACCGGAAGTTCGACGCTATTGCTGGCTTAATATGGCCCAAGCCATCGTGAACTGCACCTCCTCCTCATATTGCTCTAAGCAAGATGAAAACTCGTCCCTCTCCTTCCCTGAACACCCCTCATTGTCTTCCCAACGCAGCATAATGCATGGCTTGGAACAAGTATTCACGATTCAGTGGGTTCATTACATCATAGCCATGCTCTGCAGATGCTTGCCAACTTGCCGTATGCAATTCAGTGTAACGTGGGTTTCTTCCTCCAGAATGCCCCACAAAATCCACACTTCCAAGCACAGCCATTAGATGTTATTACAGCACAGACCCCCCCCCCTTCCCTTCTGACTCTGGCACAGATGAAGTAGCTGGAGCGTTTGCCGGCCGATCCGCATGCTGAGCTGCCTTGCGTCGTGGGAACTGAGGGAGAATACCAGCTTTGCCAAGAAGCCTAGCGACGGTATCCGAAGGCTGAGCACCCACTGAAAGCCAGTACCTGGTGGGCCACCACAAACACACAAACAGACAAATCGGGCCGAGGCTGAGCGACCACTGAAAGCCAGTACCCGGTTGGCAAATCCAGCCAATCATCACCTTCATTCATAGTCAGTCATGATGAACAGACCATTGTCCCTCCCCCTCGTCACATTCAGTACATTCACAAGTATGACCTGTGTGGCTATGCCCGCACACTGAGGATTAATAGTGTGTGTTTTCTGGAATAAGGAGTATGTAATATCATGCATTATTCGTACTGTTAGCAAACAAAACAGAGTCGAAAACAAAAAGGGGGGCACTGGAAACAGCAGACAATCGCAAACAGATGGAACGGTTGCACAAAACAAGGGCAAAATTGTCATTGTGAATGAGCGTAGGTGCAGCAACAAAAGGAAGGAGTGTGTGGTCACTGGGTCTGCAAACCCGGCCTGTCGTCACCAGCCATCATTCTCTGTAATTGTTGCGTGCAACGGACCCCCCGGCCCCCGCTGGCAGCAGGTGGCCACCCCCATCAATAGATGGACTCTCAATGCCTCTCAGAGAACCAACGGCAGACCAGGAATGCTGGGGTCACCTCGGGGGCAGTAGGCCACCAATAACGAGAAGCGGTTAACAGAGCCCTAAACTTTCAGGGTTTTTTAAGGGTCATTATAACAAACGCCCCACACCTTTTAAGCCAGACTTGTCACCAGTCCATAGAGTGGCCACCAAATATTAAACCAACAGCAAAAAAAAAAACGTAGAAAAATATATCAAAAGCAGGGCTGTGCCGGCAACCGGTCAGTTGGACCGGGCCGGATCCAATCGGGCCGTTTGGACTGCTGGTGGTCCAACCGGTTGGGCCCAAAAGTGGGTCAAAAAAATTTATTTTTATTTTTTTGAAAACATGGTTGGACTGCACTTGCAGAGATCTCCCCGAATCCGCAAAGAAAACTTTGAACAGAGAAGTTTCGTTCGGGGGATTGGGGGGGGCAGGAGGGGGAGGGGGATTATTTCAGGGGTTGGGGGTCGGAGTTTGGGGGGTTATGGTGGGGGTCTAAGTGGCGGGGTTTCAGCAAGCACAGGCTTCAGCAGACATTGACAAATACGTACCTGGCTTTCTGCAAACGCTGACCTTCTGCCCAAAAACTTTGAAAAGGGGGGTGGGGATGTTAGTGGCAAGGTAGGGACGGTACTTCCCGCCTAAAAACTTTGAAAAGGGTGGCCGATCTGGGCTGCCGATCTCTCGAGATCAGTGGTCCAGATAGGCCGCCCTTTTCAAGCCTACCGGACCAGGTCTGATATTTTTTTTGGGCCAGGAGACCTCCACGGTTGGCGTGGAGGCCTCCTGGCCCAAGAAAAAGAACGGTAAGGCCCCCAAATTGGATGCGCTACGGCAGCTTGGTGCTTGTCACTGCTGTCTGGTCCAAGTTGCCCTCGATACTGGTAGAGTGACGGTTCTGAGTGCTGAGGTAGGATAGTAGGGATAGGGGGTAAGCTGGGAGTATTAACGTGGGGAAGGGTAGGGAAGGTGGCCTATCCTGCCAGGACAACAACCGGCTGCTGCTGCCAGCGATCACTGTGGGTCTACAACACCCTGGACTTTAAAATACTACTAATAATAATAATAATAATAAAATTGATGCGCTGCGGCCAACCGGGGGGGAACTGCCCCGGTCGGACCAATCCCGTTCCGGTTGGGGGAGGGAGCCCCGGTCCTACCGCATTTATAGCACTGATCAAAAGGGCCTTAAACCCCAAGGCAAAAGTGTGTCTTCATGCAAAATTCGCTCTTTTCAGTTTTCAGGATTTCAAGGATTTTCAGGGCTGGCCAAAACAGTCATCTCCAAGACTCCAACAAACACCAAACTCAGCACACGCAGACCTTGACCAAAAATAAAACAGGGCCAAAAAAAAAACAAAAAGAAAAAGCTGAAAAGACTGTAATGCAGCATTTTTCATGTGCTGTCCTTCCTCCCACTGGGCTTTCTTGGCTGCGCCTGTCTGGGCAATTGTCCAGATGTTTGGATGGTAACCATGGTTTGCCCTTGTTAACCTTTTGATCACAGCAAGTCGCAGCAGAGCATCTTACCTAATCCGCTCGAAGTCCAGGCCTACTCGCTTCATTCCATCCTTTCCTGAATACGATAAAAAAAAGCAGAAGACCGAAGGACGAGCAAGCAAAGATTCATTATCAGCACACAGAGGCTCAGGGCCAAGAGACATGATTTAAATGCAGGATAAACAGATATGTCAAAAGAATCTCTCTCTCTCTCTCTCTCTCTCTCTCTCTCTCTCTCTCTCTCTCTCTCTCTCTC